ATTGTGTCAGTACCTCACATTCTGTGTTTTCTTGTCACGGTTAGGTGATTAAGAGTGATTTATATATATATATATATATATATATATATATATATATAACTGACCTCAGTTTAACCTTTTCCTCTACCCACAAACGATCATCAGTTATCCGGTTGTGGTTCTGTATTTTAACTGTATCCATGGGCTCCAGTAGATTGAAGTTCTCGAACTTGTAGTTAGAAGACGTCGCTCCTTTTCGGTTCGCTGAGGCCCAGTCCTTCTGCTCAGTTGAAGGAGAAATAGTCCACAAGGTTGCTAGTAACCCTTCTACAGTAGTGTCACTTCGATATCTCGAAACATGACACAGCCTTTGTGAAGTGCATTCAGTCGAATAAGATAATAAATAAGAGATTCAGTTGGCGTCCCGTTAAAATGAGTGTCCCTCCAAAATCTCGCCATTATCTCCACGATTCACGTTCTGGCTTCTGAAGTTCGCTCGTTACATTCCCGTTACCGTTATCATCTGCGTTAGCATCATCCTGATCACATGTGACAGCAGTGACTGTACGAGCTGGTGCTTAACCGCAATACAAATGCGTCCGTTCATTTGGATAAAGGACGACGAAGAGTTGAACAAAAGAGGAAAGAGAAGGTGGCTTACCACAAAACACGGAAGTTCTTAGGCACTCGCCAATCTAGGTAGAAACTGACGACACGAACTCCATTGAAGTCCGTTGGTTTTGCAACATCTCCGGCTTAGCAGGCGGATGGTCACGTGTGTTCCATTCCGGAAGGTTGACAGCACCGACAGCATGCTTTTCGTAGTCTTCTTCGTCTCCGTCTGCCACGTGATGATACTTCTCCCACCTCGTGGTTTGCACCACTGAATTTGATATGAAAAGCAACGCTGTTCTCGGTGGATACTAACCCCGTATACGTCGTAAGTGATCAAACCACCATAGCTTTAGGCGCTGTTTGTAATTTTCCCCTGAAGTACATATTGTCTGACAAATTATCCTTTTGTTGGTCGCCTGACTGTACGTTATTTGTACAGTGGAAATCCGGTCACAGATGGCTTGGTCTCTGTCTGACCAATTCTTTCTCCCTCTGTCCTCTTCTCACAGCATAGCACATTTGATTCTGGTAGACCCTTGGGGTTTTAAAGAAGCACCTTTTGACGAAGATGCTGTGATGCAGAACAAGAAGCGAGCTTGGGTTTTTCGATCAGTACGGAACATGCTACAATCCAGCAATCCATTATCCATATTGCGTGCAATCGGGCCACTTGGCAGAAAGGCTATCAATTATGTTCGACAAGATCTCATCCGCGTCTTCGATCAACACCCTTTGGTATCAGGTGAAGTGAGTGTATTCCGGGGTGGCGTGTGATTCGATTTTTTCTGACACCCATAGGTTTGAAGTTTAGCGGACTTTATAAGTGCTACTTTTTCGCTTTGTGTTTCCTGCATTCAATTATTTTATTGAGGCTCAAGGAAAGACATTACATCTCTTAAAAAGACACGCCTCTCGTTGTGTCTCTCTGGCAACTTCCCGTCAGCCGTAGCTAACTGACAGGCTCTTCCCTTACCATTCTCTTGGCAATCTTGGCATGAAATTGTTAGAGTTTTGACTTGTTATCCACAGCTTGTAACTGCTCATCCACCGACCGCCCTGTTTAAGCGCAGGCATGGTGGGTCGCTGAGATATCCAGTGACCGTGTCAGAAAGCGGTCTCACGATATTCTGCATCGGTGATACCGGACTCCGTAGTCTGAACATATCTCCGGTTTTCGGACAAAACTCTGCCTCTATGTTTTAATTTAATCTGATCTACATGTGTGTATGTTTTTTTGTCCGCCTAGTTTATTGAAGTTCCCACTGAGGAGGAAGAAGAAGCTGCCCGCCAGGGATTTGCCTCGTCTGCTGATGTCGCCGCCGACTCCGAAATCACAGTAACCGGGGCGGCCGATCAACCGGCCGCAACCAGAATGCCGGATTCGAGATTCGGGGATTTGGATAAGTCCGTCGACCCCCGGGATTTTGATGGAACAGCCGCGCTGGATTATGTTTATCACATTAACGTGCAACGTCCCAGGTGGGTCTTTTAATTAGTACTTTACGGAAATCTTTCACATCTATTAGAGCGTTCAGCTGTAGCACCCTTCCGGAGCCTAGCTGCCATGCCACCCGAAGGAAGCACGAGGGCTGGGATACTGCCAGGTTGCCCAAGCCTAGACAGGGGAAGTCGAGTGGCGCAGGTCGGATTCGAACCGCAGGCCTTCCGGTCAGAAATTTGCGCTGTAACCACTTGGGCCATCTCGCCCCATCTATTAGCATCCGTTTGCTTCCCATTATAGCATTTCTCGTGAGGCAGTTGAATGCTATTACCGAAAAGAGACTCCGAGAGTAATTTTGAAAGTCCCTGTTTAATGTGGTTTCCATACGACCCCTTTTTTACATACGCATTTCCTCTTGTAGGATTGTTCCTGGGAGGGTCCGTTTTCTAACCAATCGAAAGTCACTAGTTAAGCCCTGCCCAGCAGTGACTCTTGCAGAAGGGACCAATTTTCCTTGATCGCTTGACGTGACTTCCTTGGAGGACAGCAAAAGTAACTGATGGCTGATTTCATTAGCACTCCTTCCGGTCTCATTCCAGATCGTCTGAACTGATATTTTCAGGTGCACACATCTCTGTGATAGGTTCCTCCCTTCTCTCTAAATCCTACTCTGGTTTCGCTGTCCACGATCATGGCGGTGAATTATACGGCCCACTCAACTGCGCACTGATGATGTCTCTGACTGAGTACGAAACATTTGGAAGCTAACTGTGCAGCTCGACAAACAAGTCATCGACCGTCTGATCAGCCGCTAGTATACGTTCTATCCTTCACTCTCTAAAGGTGTTCTTAATGTTTCACTTTCCTTAGTAAAGGTTCCTATCGTCCAAGGTAGGTTTCGCACTTCAGTGTTACAGAAGGTATGCTATCAATTAATTTGTGGCAGACTGTATCACCACCACTGATGATCAAAATACCTTGGACCTGAAGCGCCTCCGTTCCAAAAAGCATTTCCAATATTTATTTCGCTCGGGGGAGGGGGTGGGAGATGACTAAGTGGTTAGAGCGCGAATTTACTGGCCGGAAGTTCCATGTGTCGAACCCGACCTCTGCATCCGGACTTCTCCTGTCTAGGCTTGGGTGACCTAGCAGTGCCCCAGCTCTCGAGCTTCCTTCTGGTGGTATGGAAGCTAGGCGCCGAAAGGGTGCTACATCTGAGCGATTTTTCATTTATCTTTCGCTTCGGTTAAGAATCTGTTTCCTAGAAATTGAGCCGGTAGCCCATATTACCTGCGCTTTTTACGAAAAAAACTTGTCATTAACACATTCCCCCTATAATCGAAAAAAAACCATGCATCCTTATACTTTTCCTGGTTTTTCTTCTCAGGTCAGCCGATGAATAGTTTTATGCTACTTAACTTAGAACGTACTAGACCGAATCCAACGTTCACCTCGGTCTATCGGGTTACTGCGCGCGTTCTCGCCGTGCTCCCAACTACCTTTTTTTCAAGGTCAAATTAAGTCACTGAAATAAGCCCTTAGGACGTACTAGACCGGATCCAACGTTCACCTCGATCTATCGGGTTACGCGCGCGTTCTCGCCGTGCTCTCAACTACCTTTTTCTTCTCAAGGTCAAATTAAGTCACTGAAATAAGCAAAGCGGAACCACTATAATCGAAATGTATTCCTGGATTACCTCATCAACGGTACGGAGCAAACTCAGCTGTTTCGAAAACTTCGAAATTGCGAAAATGCCGCACTTTTAATACCGAACGGCAATCTGATGGCTAGTCTTAGAAAGGAGTTTCCTCTCAGGTGAACATATTCAACACTAAAAGAGTAGTGTGGTAGCTTCCGACCGCAGACGGTGTTGCAGTTTTTTTTGAATTCACGGTGAGGTCAACGATGCTTTATGGAATGTGACCCCAAATTGTTTGTGAACCATGTTCGAAATTTCTATCTTACATAGCTGTCTGCAGACGTAAGAGCGTGACTAACTGTGAACATTCTTGACTGCAACATATTTTGGCATGAAACTTTGGAGACATCATACGACGCATGTCTGCATTCTGCACTGTTGGATAGAAGAATTGGAACTCTTCTGAAGTACTATACTCCTAGTCGACGATCTTTATCGGGAAGTGTCAGGGCCCAAATTCTTCGACCGAATTAGACGAGCAACTAATCCATTTCCCCAGTTTCTAGCCGATTTGATATATGCTAAATGGAGAAACTGTGGGGAATTCAGCGCCACCAGGGCTATTGCAATGTGTGCTTTTCTGTAGCCCATAGTTGCATTTTTGTGACGTTGAGACCCCAAACGTGGGCCAAAACAAAGCAGTGTGCGATCATTTTGGGTCGCCTTTCGTTCAACTCTGCAATTAGGAGGCGCTGGAGCTCCTGATTATTGCGACGTTCCATGGTAGCGTTTGGCTACTTGTCATACAACGCATTTAGATGGTAGCTGTATCAGGTTCGAATTGTGGGTCGTGACGACAAAACCGTCATCGAAGCTTGAATGGACCTGTTAATGTAGCTGTGCTACCATATCTGTATACGCAGCAGTATATGTGACTCAAATTATTCCTTGGTACGCTTTGTTTCGTCGTTTTTCGTTAACTTTGCCAGCACATATGTGTAGCTTCATAGCAGCGCGTGTGACCGTTTTCGACCATTCCTCAGCACCCAATTACAGTTTGGAAGTTGCTTGCAATCCATAAAGACTCACGCGACAGCGTTTGAGCTCGAGATGGCTTGTTAGTCCGAAACTCACCGATCGAAAGGTTCATGGTTCGATTTGATCTTGTCGAGGTAACAAATTTTACCGTTGCTCTAGTTCTGATCATGGCACCCAAAGCCAAACTACTCAGTTCTGCAGCAGAGTTGGTCAGGATTGTCTTACATCTGAGTTCGTTTCATAGCGTTGGTCTATCACTCAGTGCATGTGGCTGGAATACCAGGGTGTCCCTTTTTATTCATAGTAGTTTGTTGGTACCAGATGACCTTAATTCGGAAATTACAGTTGTACTGCACGAAGGGCAACCCAAATTGGAAACATTCATCGCAGCCTATATTAGACCGGCTTTTGTACGCTCTAGATATCATTGCTTAAAGGAGCACCTCGTCTGGCATAACCATGACGCACTTTTAGTAAGAAGATTTCCTAAATCATATGTTTCTTTCGCCCGGTTATCTCTCTGTCTGTTCATCGGGGGCGAGATTACCTAAGTGGTTAGAGCGCGAATTTACTGACAGGAAGGTCCGTGGTTCGAACCCGATCTCTGCCACTCGACTTCCCCTGTCTAGGCTTGGGCGACCTGGCAGTATCCCAGCCCTCGTACAACTTTCGGGTGGCATGGCAGTTAGGCACCGAAAGGGTGCTACAGCTGAACGATTTTTCTCTGTTCATCTATCGGGACAGGATTGGTTGGCACCAGAAATGCCTCGGATGCAGCTCAGGTTCGGCGATCGGATTCCACGTATACACAGATCGCAAGCCTCGGTGGCGGACTTCGTAGACCACATGAAGACCGAGCTGCTGCATGGTAGTCGAAAACTTCGTAGGAACGTGAAGCCTATCTTTATGTGGATACTGATGGCTGGTTGTCTGTTCATTCTCTAAACATCTGGAGAAATTAGTTCTTACTACCCACAACTGTGAGTGACTACGCACGGGCACAGTTATTCCCCAGTCAATCGGAGTTGATTATTTTTTTGGTTCTTCTGATGGGTATTTTACTCGGAGTGTCACCAAAACCTTACCATCCGAGAGTCCAAAAGACCTCGAAGGATCCGACAAATGTGGTTTAGTGCCACCCTTCCAATGCATAGGTGCTATGCAACCCATAGAAGACAAGAATCATCATCAATGACATCAGTGTTCAACACTGATGCGTTGCTGCCTTACAGAGTCATCCTTTTATGTGGGCTGAGAACTAGACAGGAGAATGATCAAGGTCCTCGCTCGAAGTTTTTGGCTTAAAAGCCCGACCGGAAGGTAGTGGAGTTTGACGGGGAATAATAGTGAATTGGCATTTTATAGAGCAGGTCGCCTGACGTATTCCACTACCCATCCTGGTATGAGAGACTCTGCGAGCGTTGCTCAGTGGTCACGGAGGCACACAAACCGTCACACTACGGTAAGGTCCTGTCTCTACTTGACGAGACACACGACTTCTGATATACTATCACGTTACTCATATCTATACACGAGCGGTCGAGGAGCCAGCGTCGGGTTTGAAACACCTTCCAGTGTGATGTGTTGCATTCGCCCGGATGTAACTCGCTAGAATCTTGGTTGTCAACGTGGAGTTAATGCTGTTGTAAGCTGATTCCCAATACAACACAGTTTTCGTCACAACTGTCACAAAATATTTTGATATCCACTTCAAAGTGACTCAATCCCTCTTGATAACTTCTTTTAATTCGAAAGTTCGTGCTGCGGACGTTTGAAATCTCTCAAGAATCTCGCTTAAGTGAACTGATTAAGGATTTTGTTAATGAGACCTTTTTTACTACCCATGATGTGCCAGTTGTCGGTGGTGGTCGGTTAATCTTCAAAAATCGTCTGGAATGATTGATATATACTCAGTTTGATGTGTCGATTCCAGGGGAAAATTACTCATAAATTACCCAGAAACTATATGCACCAATGAATCACCATACGGTATTATCCTTTTCAACAGTTAACTTTAACCGTTAACTTTAACTGGTTTAGGTGCAGCCCAAAAAGATAAGAGAAGAATCACTTTCTTTTTCATAAAGAAACTACTCACAAGGTAGAATATCATAAACAAGAGATTCAGTTGAGTCTCTCGTGAAAAACAAATTGATTTGCGAATGAGTGTATTTCTCGAAAATCACTTTCTTACTCAAAGTATCTTGCGTAAGCTGGATTATCAGGATCTCGTCAGGTAGTCTTTCTGACCATCCTTAACTTCTGACCCTAATGTAGTCTTGATTTTCCGATTCCACCCTTTTTCGTCATTTCATTGACTACAGTTGGCACCATCGCTGCTGATTCCGTCATTTCAAGCTTCCTCAAATGCTGTGGCGCCCGTGCGCGTGATCTGTCTGGTTTGACGCAAGTGGTGTTATGTTTACAAACGGTGTTAGCCACGCTACGCTTTTGACCAATCGGCACACAAAGGCCAGCGAACGACCTTGACGTCTACTGACGTCCAGAGCGTGTGGGCTGCAATGCGGATGACGCTTTTACTTTTTTATTTTGCGAAACGGTTCCATGGCCGAAACCTAAACGTCATAACAACGTAAGGAATAGGAGGTAGCATCTCTGATTCCAAAAGGATTACTGGTGGACCGCATCGTGAAAAAAGATGGATGCAATATTGCTCGAAGACACCTTGTCGATGGGAGGTCGAGATAAAAGGCTCGGGTTCGAACCATGGACCCTCCGGTTAGTAAATTCGCGCACTAGCCTCTATCCACTAAGCCATTCGCTCGAAGATTGGCAGGGGTTAACCAGAGGTCATTTCTTTCAATTTTCCGAGAACCTCAAACTTCTCGCAGCTTTTTGAGTTTCCTGAACTCTTCAGGCAGCCCGTCCATTTTCATACATTTGATGTATTATCAGACAAATTTGTGGTTATCGCAACTTGCACAATAACCTAACTACCAGTACTGACCTTATACGTAAATTCGGATACCAGAATACCTCTTATTTCCAATCATTCTTACAAGCTGACAGCAGAATGAGATGATTTGCAAACAATACCGGTAACTAATGAAACCATATAAATGGGTTAAGTGTATGTATTTCGTCCTTTTGTGGTCCAGATATTTCATGTTTTTTGTGGCACAAAGTCCCTCCCCATCCTTCCACAATCGGGTTTTCAAGCAAACTATGGTTTTATGGCGGCAAAAAAACAGTGCTGAACACTAATGTTATGTTACCAATGATGATGACGGCTGCGTTGCCCAAAGTTTGCGTTTGGTAGCACGAGGCATTTGTTTGTTAGGAATGCCACAGTTGAGCTTCAAAGTAGATTTAATATTACAGATTTTATCAAAACGTTCATTTTCTCAACCGCAAGCCCTCCGGTTTTGTGTCGTTCCCAAAAATTTTTCTTCCCAAGTTCGAAAATGACCAATTCTACAGCACACCGGTCTTTTCATGCTTATGAGAGAACTCCTCGATTCTTCTTTCATGGGTCTTTGCTATGCCCCCAGCTGCACGGGCGTTTCTTTGTGGTTAATTCCTTTGATCAAACCGAAAAGTATCTTATTTCCCTGTCTCTTTTATGCGATTGTCGCCTTGTCGTAGCTTCAATGCTACAATTATTCCTTGAACTACAATGACTGTAGGTTAGTTCCAGCCGGAAGGCCAAAGCAATCCTACGAGGGTCAGTTGATTTCCGTACCGCAACTAGTCGTATTGAGGTAGAGTTGTAATGTGAGTTGCTCTAGGGTTGTGGAAACAGTGAGGTGCTTCTTCCAAGCAACGGCATCTTGGTGTCTACGAAAGCGGCGCTGCTGCCTTACCCCTCTGTTCTTCAAGGAAGGACGGGCTAGAAAAAGTTGACCTAGAATTTCCCATACTCGGATCTCCGAACGCTTGATTGTGACCGCCCATAATCATCCATCCATAATCATCATCCACCAAGAGGCCGATGTGGCTCCAAACGCATCTGCCGTGCGCATCGACATCTGTACCCTTATATCCACGATTTATGACAATGCCGTCCTCCTATGTAGAAAAAGTTCACATCGTTGGAAAGTTGGCTCCTAGTTATGTCCTCCGAGTAAACCCCACCCACCACCACGTCGAAATTTCGCTTCCAAGATGAGGAGAAGGATTTTCGAACAAAACTCTCCATCTTCCTACTTCTGAGTCAAAGGCTAAGGAATGATATTTTAACCGAATCCCAAGCTTCGGTCTGGGCACCCATATGAATTATTATTCACCCTTGCAATCTTCCATTCCAACACCGTCGCACGCAAATCTTAGTCTAGTCACGTCTCAAAGATCGTCCCGTCTCTAGGCTTCTACGGGTAGAATAAGTCAAAATAAACCTATGTAAACCTGAAGTGTCTGTTCCACACTGTCTGTTCGGTGTCAGTCCTCTGTTTCAAATGGGGAAACAGATATCTCTTGCTCTAAGTTTGCTTTCGATTTCGATTCATCTATCTTAAGTCACCGAAACAGACCCGAAAACAAATCCCTGTGTGTTGTGGATGAGGGTTTTCAACGTGCTAGGCTTGGGGAAGTCGTAGTATATTCTGCCCGTACAGCATGGCTACAATCGATGGCCCTATCATCGATCAGTTACTCACATAAAAGTGATCGGATATTGTTCATATCCATCACGTGTCCGTTCGTGACGTCGCCTTTTTGGCATAACGCCCTAACTGTCTCTTGAATTTCTACGTTCATGGAATGCTTTTCTCCATTTCGGAATGACGGTAAAATACTTCTAGACATAGACGGTTGTTTAATCGAAATTTCGATCTCTTTCTTTGTACTAGCGGTGAAGTTGGCTTCAGGGCGCTTTGTCATCATCTTGGATGGGCCAAACGACCTATGCTCAAGCGGGTCACTGAATTGGATCGCCTAGTACCAATCACGTTTATCTACGGTTCACGGTCTTGGATGGATATGTCTTCCGGAACGACCACGCGAATTCTGCGTCCAGATTCGTATGTTGACGTAAAGGTGCGTTTAACTCCCTCGCTCTTGCGGTTGTCCCAGTGACGCAACATTGACGGTACTGGATTGAGAGCCCCATATTTTTCCAACTTCCATTGTCCTAACTTGCGCTGTAGGCTTTTGTGCACAGCGAATATGATATAATCCTTACAGATTTAGTCCAGTTCAGTTAGTCGCCCATAAACCGTGTACTTAGTGTACGTTGGTTCCAGCTGCTACGGTTTCGATCACCGGAAAGTGGAGAAACGTGGCAGATACAGTCAAGCATTGTAGGCGATAGCTTTGATGCAGGAGCGCGACTGACTGTTCGATGGAGGCGTCTTCAAAGGTCATTTACCATTAGTGAGTTCGGTTCTGGGTTCCCCGTTCAGGAACACGGCAGTTGTCGACCCGACTAAGTTTTCATCCTTCGCTGCCAAGTCCTACAATGTCCACAACCTTGTCACTTCCAATCAGCACAGGACTGGGCAAAGGAGTTCTGAGATAGACGATACTCTCGCACGTTATCTACGGTTCACGGTCTTGGATGGATATGTCTTCCGGAACGACCACGCGAATTCTGCGTCCAGATTCGTATGTTGACGTAAAGGTGCGTTTAACTCCCTCGCTCTTGCGGTTGTCCCAGTGACGCAACATTGACGGTACTGGATTGAGAGCCCCATATTTTTCCAACTTCCATTGTCCTAACTTGCGCTGTAGGCTTTTGTGCACAGCGAATATGATATAATCCTTACAGATTTAGTCCAGTTCAGTTAGTCGCCCATAAACCGTGTACTTAGTGTACGTTGGTTCCAGCTGCTACGGTTTCGATCACCGGAAAGTGGAGAAACGTGGCAGATACAGTCAAGCATTGTAGGCGATAGCTTTGATGCAGGAGCGCGACTGACTGTTCGATGGAGGCGTCTTCAAAGGTCATTTACCATTAGTGAGTTTCGGTTCTGGTTCCCCGTTCAGGAACACGGCAGTTGTCGACCCGACTAAGTTTTCATCCTTCGCTGCCAAGTCCTACAATGTCCACAACCTTGTCACTTCCAATCAGCACAGGACTGGGCAAAGGAGTTCTGAGATAGACGATACTCTCGCACGCGGAGTACGTCTTAGCCAGTGTGACCATGAAGCGTGAGTAATTCATCTATCGTGGGAGAGTCTCGTTTTCCTTCAGCATTAGTAATCTGATGTTCCCACCAGAGCTGACCGGTGCTTCAGGGACACCGATGGTCAAACACTGACAGCGTTCGTACGTCTTCCGCGCTTAGAGACCGCACATAACAGTATGGATCGCACCGCTTGATTGTAACTTCTGCCTTTGACGGACAAATTCACGGCACGTTGGCGCCTTAGTTGTCGGAGGTTGGCGAAAGCTGCCCTGGCCTTCCAAGCAATGTCATCCCCAACCAGTTCAGCGCAACTTATACAACTGTCTAGTTAGACAAATTTATCCACCACTTTGATTGGTTCGTCTGCAAGCATGAGGTTCGGGTTTGATCCAACCCAATCTTGTAGCAGCACTTCACACTTTGCATAGGGGAAGCGCATTCCAAATCGTGCGGCTGAATGATTTAGGTTATTTGAAATGGTTTACATTTGGGAAGTATCTGAACGAAGGAGACCAATATCGTCCGCATACTCACTTTAGAACATACGGTTGACGGAAACTCTGAGATTGCACCAACCTGATGAACCCCAATAAGGGCGAAACTGCTCGTCGGTTACCATGGTGTTTTCGACACCCTTATGAGTAGTGTGTTACGTCTAGGCAGCAACTGCACAAAAGTTTGTATGGGCAGATAGCCAGGGAGCTATAAATTGAAGCGAATTGTAAACAGACTGCTAGAACACAGGACTATCAGATGATAGTTAAAAACCGGGTGAAATCGGACTATACACTAGCTAATAGGTATGAACTAGATTTGGAATATATGGGAGCTTTAAGATAACCGTAACGACTAGCGGTCGAGGCGGTGGAAATCGTCAAGTATTTCAGTGTAAATAGAGAAGAGAGCGTAGAACTGGTAATTGTGTGGGGAGTGGTTTTAAGCGTGTGGTAGTGCGTGGTTATTAGTGAAGTGGGCAAAGTCTAAATTACAGGCCGAATAAATTCCACGTGATCTCCTCCACACAATGACATTCATGAGATACATTCGACTAAAGTGTTCTAAACCGGTAGAGCATGTCCCCCCCACAGCAGATTGAACTCGGTGATATTTTTCCTCTTACCCATTCGTCATCCACACTAATCAACGGGACCCATCGATCAACATTCAGCTGCGGCCAAGTTTGCCAATTAGAAGAAGCGTCTGTTATGGTCAAAAAATTATCACCGAACACTTTTGGTGAGGCGAATTTCAGTACAGTGCGTTTGATGCTTATTTTGACATCTCCGTAGGTATAATCACTACCAACCAGATGTGACCAAGATTTTCGCGGTATATTCCAGTCAGTCCAAACGAACCGTCGTTTTGCTCATGTTGAGAGCACAACTCTTATTAATTTGCGTCAGCTACGTCCTTGGACATTGTAGTCAGAGCTTTGAAGCATCACTAGTTGAATCCGTGAGTATCTCGCATGCAGTCCAGGACAGTTGCTGATTGAATTTTCAAGCAACCCGAACAATCGCACTTTGCACACAAAAATATAGTCCGAGACCTCAGTGATTAAGGTACGAACTTAGTGACGGGAAGGTCCGTGGTTCGAACCCGACCTCTGCATCTCGACTGCTCCTGTCTGTGCTTGGGCAGCTTGGCAATATCTTAGACCTCTTGCTTCTTTTGAGCGGCGTGATAGCTAGGGTGTTGCAGCTGAACGATTATTTAGATTAGTTTAGGAGTCCCGGGGTAAAATTGTATCGCACCTAACTTGACGGCTGCCATGATTAATATTTACTAAAAGTTCGGATTCTGGACAGTCGGAGAAAACCAGTGACCTTAGTTGTGTTTTTCGCACACTACAGTTCATTTTGGTACCCTCGTCTCTCTGCAATCTTCGAAACATTACTTATCAACGTTCAATGTTGGAATCCTGTGAACATCGAACGTATGACATCGTCTCTCAGTTCCTTCTCCAGTATATGGTATTAGGATGTACAGTGAGATTCAAAACACTATGTCCCATATCCATTCGAATGGCACAGAGAGAAGACAAGTTGTCAACTGGGACCATTCCATACAAGCTCGTCAGTCACAACACATGTAACGCAATCCAAAACAAATGCGGTCAAGCACATCAGTTATGTGACTGGTGTGATACTGAGTGAAGCTCACGCGTTCACATAAATCAGAGTAGGCATTACGTGACTCAAGCACTTCTGAATGCAAAGCTATGGCGAATAGTCAGTGAAGCGTCAAACATCTTCGGTGTTAACCATCGATTATATCGCATTAGGACGGAGAACATTGAGTCACAACCAACCAACTGGTCAGTTTTGAAGGCAATCGATGATTGCGGAGTTGGACCACCTATTCATCTGGTGGCATTGTTCAGTAACCAAGAGGAGAGATATTTCCGAAAGCTGTCATCAAGAGTTCCCTCCGTTGGTTCCCAATAAAATTCACCGCAACTACAGGTCGGGTGATATTTAGAGATTGATGTTTTGTTTGCCGTGGTGGTAGCTTTGTGTGTGTAGACGCACCCTGATTTGTGCTCCGTTACATTTTCTCTTTAGGTTTTTGGGCTTATCAGCGTCATATAGGCTATCTTTTTTGCTACATTAGGCTTCAATTCCTTTTGGGTCATTTGGCTGCAGTTCTTTGCAGCAATTTGAGTTCCTCTGGCGGAATATTCAGAATGCACATTAGGTTTTCTCGATGATTTAACATCCTGACCAGAGATCTTTCATATTCCATGGGGTGAAGCTACTGTAAAGTCCAAGTGAGTTTTCCATAGATTGGGCGCTCTACGGACTCATTGGCGCCTTTTGTTAGTAGCACATCTAGAAAAGCGGATCTGTTTTCGCCCTCGTTTTCATAAGTGCACTGAATGTTCGAGCGTTTGCGTGACTGCATTTCTTCGTTTTTCTTCGGATTGTGTTACCTACGTTTGGACTGACGAAACTATGAAATGGTTCCATCTCGCAGATTTTTGTGTTATTCAGACGGTAACACTCGTCAACCCTTCAGCTGAAACGTGCCTGATGATCACTTGCTGCTTGTGGGTGCCGAATTTATTGCTGAACAGATGAATAGAAATATTGCCCCAACAACTGTAGATGTGTCTACCTGTTTACGTTGATTCTTCATGGCCTTATTTGGGTCTGCTCGCTTTTACACCAAGTCGTGATTGTCAGGTAACGTCATTGTGTACCCTTAAGAGCAGTGGTATATTTTGGGAAGGGTCTCTTTCTATCCGTTTCTACTGCCACCACATCACGAATGTCAGTTGGTGTTGTTCAACCTGCCGTTGGTTGTTCACCGGTGGACACGACCTCCGTCAAATATGGATGGCTCCTCTGTTAAGAAGTCACTGGACCTTCGTCTCGCCTATTTCCATTTTAACGGGAATTGTTTACTTGTGCCTTTGCACGACCAACTTTAATCAACTCATAGCTTCGTGCGACGTGTCTGTCTGTAGTTTCCTATCTCACACCCGAATAAAAGTAATTCCATTTGGGCCATTTGTCCGGAAGATTCGCTGCTTTTGTGGATTGTGAATAGTGATGTGGCGCCTCTTCTTAGAGGTTTCTTATGTGTGATGGCTTACTCTTCAATGTGGTATGAACTGCGTAGTTGAAGGGTTGTAAGCAATGTATCCCTCCTAAATGAGCAGCCGTTGATCGACCGCTCGTAGTCGAATAGTAGTGCCTAAACTCCTGGAAGTTTGACTGCTCGAATCCATTGTCGGCTCTTAATAGGGATGAAACAATTGTACGACGCTTATCGATCATTTAGTATAGACTGAGTTGACCCAGTATGATGAATTTTCAAACTTCAAACACAATATGAGCAATCCAGTGTGAAATTCAGACCCTTAATGTGAATTCACTACTGCCAGGTGTTGTTACATAACGGCACATTTCCTTTGCCTTTTTTTCGAGATGAGTCACAAAGTTTTATACTATTGATTTTTTCCCAAAGATCATCGAGGGTGCAGGCCATCAAGTCTATGCTCAGGCTGCCAGTGAGTTCAATGCTTATGTCAATTTGGTTGCGCATCGCGTCGATGTAGGTGACCCGTTCATTCCTTTTGATCCAATGATTCCGAACCCGGATACACAAGAACCTTGGGTGCACAGACGCCCTGCGAGCACCACTAGCATACCAAGGCAGCGGAAATCAAGTTCCAGGTTGCAAAACTTTTTCTTTCCTCATGGTCCCAATGAACCTCCATCAGTGTCCCCGGAAGCTCCCGTGGGCAATCCAAATGGGCCAACAACAAGCGATGAGTCCTCTCGTTGATGATCGTCTTTCCCCGGTGTGCGACAAGCACAGCGACAGTCATTTTAACTCAAACTCTGTTTACGTTTCATTTTATATTACATTCGAATCTTTATTCACTTTGTATTTTGGATTTGACAAGCTGATTATTTTATTCATAGTTTCGTTCCTTAGAATGCTTTGACTATCGCTCAAAGCGCAGTTGTATTTTCTCCCAAGCAACCAATAAACATTACTTTCACAGTATTCTGTTTGTCTTCTTTAGGGTGATGCATGCATGTAGTAGCTTCGTGTTTTTTTTGTGGGAGCGGGGTTCAGGGCCCTATTCAGCTCCTTGAGTATCATCTGTCTTGGAGAGTTGTGTTAGCAGGTGCCCCATTAAAGAATGGTGATGTAATGTTTTGGGAAAAAATGGCATTGGCGGGAGACAATAAATCAGCGACTGACCTGTTGGTCTTTTCAGGTGTATTTGATCTGTCATGTCCGGGTTGATCCTTCGGACTTCAGGAATCGAACAATCAACTAGGCGTATTTGAATAGGATGTAAGAGGGATCAACTATTGGTTGTGCAATAACGTCGGCTGTTGCACATGTGGGGGCGAGATGGTTCAAGTGATTGGAGCGTGGATTTACTGACCGAAAGGTCCGTGATTCGAACCCGACCTCTGTATCTCGACTTTCCCTGTCTAAGCTTGGGCGACCTGGCAGTACCCCAGCCCTCGTGCTTCCTTCGGGTGGCATGACAGCTAGGCACCTGAAGGGCGTTACAGCTGAACGATTTTTTGTTGCACATGTAAAACTTCGCGGCTTCTTTGAAACTATGTGAATTACTTGGCTTAAAATTGTGATTCTTAATGACGAACGTAACTCGCTCTCAGAAATTTCCTGATGTTGGACAACCTCCGTCTTTAGACAATACTATATGTCAAATAAAGCTTGGTAACAGTCTGCCATAGTCTGGCCTAGCATTCTCCATGCGACCAGTGTCACTCGTCCCTGCATTGAGTACTTTTTCATACCATGTTTTTTTATGTTCATATTATCTGTTCTGCATTTATTCATACCTGTTTTCGTGCACGTTCATGTCGCGTTTACTTTTTATCTCCTCATCGTTTCGCCTGATTTGGCTCACCCTTTATTCGTTGTCCACTCGGTTTCCGATTGCCGCTGCTGGCGCATAGGAACTTGACCGAGTCGTCTGACATTGCAGCAGTAGTCGCAGTCGCACCCAACCTCTACACCAAAAAATATCGAAACCTAGAAGCCTAATCGTGGCCCACCGTGTATTCACTTCGGAATTCACCTCAAAAGTTGATTAAATACTGGATTGTAAGTTACTTTTGCCATAAGTGCTATTGTCTAATAATTGGGCCATCTGTACTCATTGGAGCCATATCGATGCTGTGATGTGCATTGTGAGAGGTGGCAAGTCACGTGAATTGAAGCGGTCAAAATCCAAATTAGAAAGAACCCTCCGTGGCGGCCACAAAAACAAGCTCAGTGTGTGGTTGGGTGCTGAAGTATTCTATGTGAATGATCTCACCAACAGCAAGTTAGATAAGTTCAAGTCTCCTTACCTAGAAAACTGCATATGGGCATTCAGTTCACTGATACAGAAATCTAAAATATAGATCGAATGGAGTGCTGCAATAAAAGCGTTGGAAAAGATCCCCGGTGAAACAGTATAAAATGCAGTTTTTCTTGCGCTCTTATCATTGCCCCTGACGTGTCTGATATCAATCGTGGTGCCTATAGGCCAAGAAGTCGAATGAAATGCAAGACAACGACGGACGGCTAAACAGCGAGAGCCATCAGTGGCAAGGCAGGTAGAGAAATGAAAGACTGGATAGATACTACTACCAAAAATGACTGATTTGCGTCTGTCGGAGATTCTTTAGCTCGGTGTTGATTCTTTTATTGAACCTTTGAGTGGTTATTTGGTCTCCAGGAACGAAATCCTGAGACTTCGTTTCGTCCTCCGCGTGCTCAGAAAGATTATCCGGAGAATCCTGATAGCATCGATTCAACTAATCGCAGGATTTCAAATGCACTACCAAATGCGCTCTCTAGATACTGTGAGCAAATTGTACAAGAGTCCCCTGTGTTTATATTTTGATGCCGCGCTCGGCTTTAATGGAATCGTCTATAGGGAAGCACATGGAATGTTTGTGAGGATGTTAGACATGTGATTGACTGGCTGTTGACACTATTTACCCGATCATGTGCCTTCATATGGCACAAATCCATCTGCCTTGCATATTTCTGAGTACATGTCTATCCAACTGCGATCAACAAAACATTTTCCTCAAGACTTGCACCACCTATTGATTTTGGGTATGACCGCTAGATCAGTACCTGTTGAAGGTCGACATGAATTCCAACTTCATGCTCATCTGACGTCAAATACGAATCTGTGGGTAGCTCGACGACACGTGGAATCCAATGTAAACGGGCTTTCTCTAAATGCGGAGATGAAATGAGTCATTTCATCACACAAGGGCAAACTTTTCCCGCTTCATAACTCGTATGGTTTTCGAGTAATCTTTGATTCATTACGAGTGGCGGGTTGCAAGTTAGCAGTCGCGGGATGAAATCTGTTCCGCTGCGCTTCATGCTGGTACAGTTAGCCTCCTCGGAGAAGACAGTTTAGACGGGTTCGATGGGTCTTATCATGATAAAGTGCATTCTAAGTGGTCAACCAAAGTGCAAGCACTTGCATAATCAAGCTGGTACGCATAGCGCTACTGAGTTACTGGAAAGCCAACGAGTTAACCGAAACAACATAGTGCTTTACCAAGGCGGATTATTCCACGCATGAACGCGTATCTTGTCTGAATCGATTGAGTGAGGGATGAGACAACTGCACCATCTGAACTGTATTTTGGATAAAACACCAAGAAATCAATAGCCACGACCTGTGAAAAAATAGCGCAGTTTGATAACCTAAGAGTGAACTAATCGTCCCGCTCGCCGGATTCAAAATGGAGGAGGTTCAACTAAAGTTCAGCAAGCGGCAATTTCGAATCGTCTTAGACATCTCTGATGAGGATAAAACAGCTTTAGATCCGCCTCCTTCACCTTCAGCATACATTGGTCTCACTTACAGGATGGAATCTCATTTAGAGTTTTCATTTTAAAAACTCAGAGAGACGAACATGGTGATGTTTGAGTTAACTTGGTCCGATCAACGAAGTACGGGCCATTTTCTGTCCATCCGAGCGTCGCACCCGCTATGAATGACCCTGAAACAAGCGATCACTCAGTCTCGATTGACTTCCGGTGTGAGTGACTAATAATAATATTGTCCAAGCCTAGACAGAAGCAGTAGGGATGCAGGTGTTGGGTTCGAACCACGGACCTACCGGTCGGTAAGTTCGCGCCTTAACCACTGAGCCATCTTCCGGTGTGATGAGCCTCCAGCTTCTCAGTAGTAGCTACCGCACCACTTGATACAATAAAACGCTGTTGGATTCCTCACGTCTCCTGTGCTTATGCGCAACGAAACGCATAAAACATCTTCACTAATGGCTAGGTTATTTTCTAGACGAATCAACGGCTAAATAAGGGAAACATTCCACAGCAAAAGGATGTTAACCATTTACGGATAGTCAATGAAATGTATTTCATCATGTCAAGGAAGCGTTCGTCCTCCCTGTATCGAAGCAGAAATGGAGTCGTTTTTGGTGTTCTCAAACATGACTTGGTGTCATACACAACGGTATGGCTAACGTGTTCCAGACTAGTACGCAGATCATCCCGGTTTCCCGGTGCTAGTCCGCCTTTCTCTTATTACTCTGAGAACAAAATTATGGTAGTTGGAACCATTGCGAAAGATGTACATGGTCCACGGCCGATTGTGAGCGCTTCTCAAAGACTATAGTATCCCCTGGTTGTTGCATATGCCCGTGAACCAATTGTAGTAGCTGGTTGAGTGTGTCAAGGGGCTTGCACACCTTCGTGTCCGTTCGTCAACACATCAGAGGATTGTTGTGTGATGCCTGATCAGAGTTACGTACGTGTTTATACAAAGCGGACCTGTTTGACGCATGTACGCAATGCACCCGTGTCATCACATACGTGTTTTCTAAGTTACTTTGAACTTACAATAGTGATCGTCCTATCAGTTGGGTGTCGTACAAAGTTTGAAAACTCTTGAGCATGTTATACACGGTTGGTGCATAGCGCGGGAGGATATTCTATTGTTCTCTTATGATGAGCGGAAATATCCTATTATGGGAGGACCATAGTCGTCAAGCGATGCTTCTGTGGGTCAACCAGCTGCTTTGGACTGTTACCTCCATCGCATTCCAACCATACCGTAGATTTTTGACCATGTCCGGAACCGGGAAGATGGAGTGGTAAAAACTTTTCTTCTAACCGCCCTATTCCAAACTGATCTAATCCACTACCCTATCGTCTCTGATACATTCTTGCAACTTTGGCAAAATGTGTCATCAAAACCCTTTTTGTTCCTTTAGTTTCTGAACACTGATTACGTGCATTGAGTCGACCATAGCCTGGTCGTTTTTCCAAGCACGTTTCTTATTGATCCTTGGGATAAAATCCAACTACCACACCTCCACGTGGAGCGTATGATCTGACCAGCAAACTTCGTTATCTTGTGGATCCCAATACTGGTATCACCGTCGCTAGCAAGCCTTATGTGAATATAGTTCCTTCACCGGTCGTTTGTTTTTGCTTATTCTTTATCAATCAATCCGTTCTTTCTTTTCAGGCAGACCGGTGATGTCATTTCTGGTCAGAAGCCTCATTCGTGCTGTTCATTCACCCCAAGCCAATCCCTTGCCATGCGGTATCTTTCAGTTTCTGCCTTTCATAGGCGTACCGACCCGATTTTATAAAGTACGGGATCATCTCACTCTTCGTTGCCGGGACTGCTATTTTGATCGCCGCGAAGGTCGTCTTTTTGTAGAATGTAAAACCTATCCACGTCACAAGCAAGCACAAAAAATGCATGAACCAAGACGACCATGGGCCTATAAACGTGCCGTTTGGAAACATTATTGCTATTGAAGCAGAAGAATCGTGGGGCATGCCTTTTGTACTTTAATAGTTCCGATTTTGTGCATGTACTCAGTTTTCTGCTTGCTCCTCAAAAAAATCCCAAATGAAAGCCCTCGTTTTATTTTTACCTGGAGCGGTATTGTTTGTTGCCGAGTTGAATTCTACTAAAAGTTGTTCTCCCGGTCACAGCATCCTTTTAGGTCATCTTAGGAGC